GAAGACACAGAGGGATATGCAAAAACTGCAAAACCCCTCACTGAACTATTAATTTTAAAGAATGGAACAAAGTTTGAATGGGGAAGTGCACAACAGAATGCCTTTGATTATTTAAAACAGCACCTCTATTAAAGTTTCCAGATTTTGAGAAACCTTTTATCCTGTCAACCGATGCTTTCAACCTGGCAATAGTGGGAGTTTTATCTCAAAAACAAAGAAAGGATGAGTCTCCAATAGCATATGCAAGTAGACAACTTAGGAAGACAGAACAAAATTATTCTGCCATAGAGAAAGAATGTTTAGCAGTCATTTGGGTGATTAAGTATTTTAGACCTTACCTTTATGGACGAAAATTCATGATAGTAACAGATTGTAGTCTTGAGCTGCCATCATGAACATTGATCAATCACTTGAGGGGTCTGACTTGTTGGAATGTCACCCTCCAACAATACTCCTTTGAAATAATTCATAGACCTGGAAAATCACATGGAAATGCTGACGATGTTAGTCAAATTCCCATACAACAAATTAACAATTATAAACCTATTTACAGTAAACAGGCCATCAGAGAAGCACAAACAGATGACCCCATTCTGAGTAAAATTGTAAAAATCTTGAAGGGAGAAACCATTCCAAACCCATTAGAAAAATTTCCAGATAAGCTGGAAAACTTCTTCTTAGACCCAGATGAGGTTCTATATCATATTCGAACTCCAGAAGGTAAGGGAGAAACTTGGCATCAAGTAGTTATTCCCAAAAAATTGACCGAATATATCCTCCATCAGGTCATGTAGGCAGTAAGAAAATGAGGAAAAAGTTAGAAACACAATTCTTTTGGCCAGATCTTCGAAAAGACATCCAACGGTATTGTGAGCGATGTGAGAAGTGTAGTATGCGTAAATGAACTGAAAAATGGATGCAGCAACCCCTTCAAAAATTCTCAGAACTTAGTTGCCCATTCCAAAGAACAGGAATGGATATTTTAGGTCCTCTTCCTACTACTACAAAAGGTAATAAATATGTATTCGTCTTTTTAGATCACTTCAGTTGCTATGCAGAATGTGCAGTACTTCCCGACCAAAAGGTAGAGACAGTTGCAAGAAGTTTTGTCGAAAAGGTTGTTTTACGTCATTCTCCACCAAACCAGTTATTAACAGATAGAAGAACTAACTTTTTAACTAAATTAATGGAAGAAGTCTGCAAATTATTAGGCATTAAGCAATTATACACATCAGCATATCACCCAGCAATCAACGGGATTGTGGAGCGCTTTAACAAGACCCTCGTTGACATCATCGCTCACTATGTGAGTTGAGACCAGAGAGGCTGGGACGATTGGATTCCGCACGCTCTCTATGCTTATAATACAACCAAACACTCCTCTACAGGAGAAAGTCTGTTTTTCCTGATCTATGGGCGAGATGCAAATTTTCCAATTGACATAGATACTGCACCTAAGCAAATCACTTATATTACAAATCAAAGCTTTTAGCCAGACTAAAAGTGTTTATGAAGCAGTCAGAACCTATTCAAGGGATGTCATAGAGAAACGAAATCTCCATCATGATAGTAAACATAAAGGACACCTATTTCAAATTGGAGACCGAGTTTATGTGAATATCACACAACATCCCTGTGGAACAAGCAAAAAGCTTTCACTGCGATGGAAGGGATCCTTTAGAATCACGAAACAACTTAGTCCCATTAATTTCGAGGTGCAGGATATTAAAACTAAAACAAAACTTCAACTACATGCTAATAGGTTAAAACCTGCTGCTACGGGAAATGAAATCAACCCAATCCCAGAGGATAACCTAGAAGGTACAATAGCAGATAACTCTCCAAAAACATCAGGTCATCAAGATGAGAATAAGGAGAATGGTGACGAAATATTTGATCCATGGGATAACTTTATAATTCCCCCATCAACTCAAATGCCACCTCCTCCAAATACCCTGCTGTCCAGACAAGAAGCAACAGAGATAAGAGACCAAGGGATGAAACAGTCCCACTATTCCCTTTGAAGTCGAGGCACTGTACCCGACCAACCCTGGATACAACCGACCCCAACTAGACAGAGAGAACAACTCCAACCCTATTAATCTAGTTCAAACAGCTAACAGCCGAAAGTTATAATACAATAGACGATGAATACATTGAAATTATTATAGAATGAATATACAAATATCCCTGTTAAAAAAGGTGCATTTCTCAAGGCCACATGTCAATCTTTTGTAGAGTCAACACTGAGGAAAAATGGATTTATTCCACTCCCACTCCACTAAGCCTTGTTGTAGACTGCAAACAAAATTGGAAACAACAATCAGATTCTAAAATAATCAAATTAGTTAATACGTGATTTGTAACATTCCCAATGACTCGTACAGGACATGTAGCAGGAGTACAGTTAGCATCACACTTTCAATCGCAATCTACTCTTTCAATTTCTATAAAAAAATCCTCCTATTATGGACAACCTAAACAGCACGTAACAGGAAATAATAAAGTCTTTCTATAACTTATCCGAAGAAAAAAAAGGTTCAACAAACTTAGCTAATGACGTTAGATTACCACTAGAAGTAGCTAGTTTATCTTTAAGAGATATCCAAAATCAATTAAAAACATTGAAGTAAATATCTGAAGTACAACACTCTCATGATAATGACAGATTAGGCACCCAAAATCATTATTTAGTAATGGGTGGCAGCATAGCTGTTATAGTCACTATCATAATTATCGTGATTTACATGCATCTTATTAGAGGTAGACGTAGATCAAGGACCAGATGTCCCAATCCAAAAATCCCGACGCCTATAATTGCCCCTATTGTGAACTCACAAATACCGTGAGAGACAGTACCAGAGGAGATTCAAACACTCCAAGTAAGAGGAAACTGAGATAGCGCAGAGAACACTGCTAGCTCTGAGTACAACCCGCCAGTAGAGTATAAATTCTCTAAATTGTAATGTGTGCGCAAGGTGATATGAACTAAGGACTATTTAAAACCATTTTTTTTTTTTACTTTTACTTAATTTCTACCCCAAAATCAACTATGTCAGTGCATACTCCAACACAGTGCAGAGTACAAGTCGTTACTCTGCTCTTTTGTCCTTAAATCAGCGAACTTCGGCCTGAAGACAAGACTGTGTACTTTTTTTTTTTGTGAAAATCTCCTGTTGCATGACGTACTCTTTATATTCCAACCATCTCAGGATGCCGAAGAGTGGTGAATGACACTAACAATAGGTGACTGACTAAATGGTCACTGTGAACGACATCAGTGAAGAAAAAAAATGTCATAAACATTTTTTTTTTTTTTTGGAAATGGCAAAGTGATGTGAAGACCACCATTTCCCCACCTCCAAAAATATCTCTATATATACATTAGTGAACTGTTATTTACGACATTTGTAGTAATTTTTGTTTATTCACTTTATTTCAACTTTTTTTGCTAATTATATATTCGCTTGAACTTTGTTAAAACCTTAACTATATCTTGAACGACAACCAAAATTACAAGAAGAAATTCACCTATTTTACCAATCTAGGGACTCCCCCTTTCAAAATTTTAATATCAACTCAAAATAATTTAAAAAGACAAATTAGAATAAAACGGTTTGTTATCCAACTATCAGAAATCTCACAACATGCCAAGGAAGAGAGGAAGGAGCAATTAAATAATTAAAATTGTAAAGGATTAAAAAGAATATATAAAAATGGGGAACATCACATTTCACTTCCCCCTTTGGCACAGAGTGTCGTGACGAGGCTCGAACTTCTACAATGTTTACATATTAAACGAAGAACTTAGATAAACCAATCAATGAATAATGATTGAGAACTATCCCAAAGCAAAGATGAGTCACGTCAACTTGGTGATGACTCTATGAAAGTTCGATGTCATTACCAAATAAGAAAACACCGTCTCAGCTATGATGACGTACTTTCTCATGCTGGAAGTGTTTAAAAAGAGAGCTCCAACCAGAGAAAGCTCAGATGGGGAGAAAGACAGACAGACAGAAGAGAGAGCGAGAGAATGAACGAGCTCAAAAACGAGCAAGCACCAATAATAGACTAAGAGTGAGAGTGAAACAGGATCAAGAGACTGACCGACTGTCTGAACGAATGACAGAAGGCATCTTGTTTACTTGGTATGTTGTGAGTCGCGTAAGTTCGAATACCCCCCTCGTTATATAGATAGAGATAGGCAAATTTCCTAAAAATTGGATTTTATAATTCTGTTCTAAACTTCATTTTGTGTTAATAAATTTCCTTTACAATCGACCACCCTATAACACTGTTGATTATTCCGTTTCATATGAATTCCATGTTGTACGAGTCACTTAGATTTTACAAATACGTGTGCCGTTCACAGCCCAGCACACATATTTGTAAAATCAAAGTGACTCGTACAACATGGAATTCATATAAAATGGAATAATCAACAGTGTTATAGAGGGGTCGATTGTAATTGGTTATATCTGACTCTGCATTCTTTCTCCTGAGAGGCTCATTCTTGGACTTCGGAGTGGCTCTTACCCTCGCGCCTTAATAATTTATTTTGTCTCAATTGGCGGTGTGTCCGATAAAACACATCTGGTAGCAGGACCCTACCCAAAAAGTGCGTAATAAATCTTTATGGCCCCCGAACCCCACACTTATCATTTTCTCCAAATGTTTGTAAAACAATACTTTCATAAACGTCTGGCTGAATCTTCCAAGCATACAGTAAGTACCACAGTAACATGGAACAAACACCAAAATACACGAAGACAATGACACAAATAACTATTAGAATTTGTGTTTTGGAGGTGACTTTACTAACCACAGCAGAAAAATCAACAATAGCAACCAGCATTTAACTTTTAGTTCATAAACTTGTTCTCTTTCCAATTTGTTTTTCTTGGATATATTTCTGCATCTCTCAGTATTTCATCTATTCTAAATTATTAAGTTAATCATTATCGAAATACAATAAATCATTAATCAATTCTTTTCAGACTATCGATTTTGCCGTGGACTTAAAGACGTAAGAATCTACGAAAGATGAAGACAAATAGATTCAAAATTTTAACATGTAATTTAAAATAACAAATATGACTGTTTTGATATGGTATATTTTTACCACAGTTTATAACAGGTAGAATTGGTAGTGAAAGTTGTAAACTGAGATACTGGGATGTAAAGTAATTAATTAATTTAATTGATTTTTTAGAGTTTGTTCTAAGAAGTATCATTTTGATTGTGGTGGAATAACTAGACTCAGTTTTATTAAATTGAATAAAGGTAAAATAAACCAAAGAAAATGGTCCTCAATGAAAGTCAAATTTTAATTCTAAAATTAAGTTAGATGATGAGAAAAAAAGATAGTCTAAACTCTTTTTACCACTAAAACTTATATTGAGTTTTAGTGGTAAAAAGAACACATCAGTAGAGGACCTTTAGATATAAATGAAAAATAATTTACTGTAGATTCTATTCAACAAATCTCTCCAAAAACACTTCTGAAGAGGTGCTTGATTAGAAAATTTGTGTAAGATTATATAAAATTCATAAAGTTTGAACTTCAAACAACTAAAGTGATGATGCAAGGACTTAAAAGAATTAAGAAAGAAAATACAGTGGAACCTTTATATTTGTAATATTCGATGTTTGTCACATTTTGATGACTTTTTGTCACCGTATTCGTCGTCATTCTCAACACCAGAAGTGGTACTACAATCGCACGCCCGTGCCGATCAGCTAGCCATGTTAGTTAGCTAGCTGTAGTTAATCAGTCTGCTTTGTGTGGTTGTCATGTGTGTTGTTGAGTTATTGAAAAATAATCAATGCGAGAAACCAAGTTCCAATTGCTCCAAAGTGGCACCCAAATGTTGCTATAGTCAACCAAATTACAAATACATTCAATGATAATGTAATTGCCTACTTCAGAAAAGTTTTAAAAAACAGACAAAACACACAACATTGGACAAGTTTGTTATTAAATCGAGTGCTACCGAATCATTGGCAAAACAGACCCCCATGATCATAATTGGAATTGCCTAATGTTTTAATTGATATGTCTTCTTCTAAACAATAATACTATTCTTCCCCTTCTACCACTACACTGTATTTATTTAGTACAATAAAGTTTTACAAACAACATAATTTTTATTCTTGTACCTTTTTTTCAGGATGAGAACAGATTAATTGAATATCAGTTATTTATTATGAGAAAAATTGTTTCTATATTCATCATATTCCATATTAGGTCCTTAGGAACAGATTAATAAATATAGAGGTTCCGCTGTACTGAATTTCCAAGTACTGCCGAGAGCTTAGCTAACAAACTTACAGAAATGGAAAGTGAAAGAGAGGTTTGTTAAAGAAAATTATTACACAAAAAAACTAAAATTACAGGAAGCATCAATTAGGAAAATTAAATATAGAACATGGAAAAAATCAGAGAGACAAACATGTTTGCAATTAAAATTTACTAAAGGAATACTTCTCAAGACCTTAGACATTTGATTCCGACATTGAACAACCTAATACTGTATAATAAAACACTACAGAATTACAAAAACAGGAAAGAACAAATTAGTGGTGGAATTGAACTCAGTACGGTTGAAAAATTAAATAATGTGAGAAGTGAAAACTATCAATTATATACAGACGAATGTTAAATCATAAATGGTATGGAATTCCTATAAATGAATATTTGACGGCTTATTTTAAAAACTTATTTTTTCGAATTCGTGTGATGATAAAGGAAAGGCATTTGGAATTTGATATCATATTTAAGATCTAATAATGCATGTATCTTAGTTTAAATATTGCAGATTTAGAACCACATAGTTTTAAATTAAAGTACAGTAGACCCTTTATAACATGGAAGATATGTTCCTCGTTATATGAATTTCGCGTTGTAGGAATCCTTAAATAGATGAGCCAATCGCAGCCTGACACGTGTGAAGTTTACGGACTATGGCTGTTTGAAAGGTTTTCTTCCATAAAATTAATCGATTCTAGACTAATTCGACTTAACATTTCCAAAATACATATAAGTTTTTGGGAATAATCCGTATAAACTATGCTATGAACAAAATATTGTAGGATTACTTACCGAGTGTGCACCGTTTGACGTTGCCATTGCTTAAGCTTGTGTTCGTCGCGGAGCAGTGCACCAAACGGCGGCTGCGATTTCTGATGTTATTTTTCTGCGAAAAATTCATTGAACTTTGGAGACATCATTAATAGAAATAATTTTTATAGCCGTTGAATAAGAAATGTTTCTTTCACAAGAAATGTATAAAATTACAGTGCTGTATTAGACTTACAGTACCTAATTTACATACTGTACAGACGATAGTAAACTCAACTTACCCGCCTAAACTCTCCGTAGCGTGGCACTGGACGGCGGAAAGTAGTTCGGCTGCTCGTCTGCGATGACGTTTTACCGTGTTTTACGAGTCCCTTTTAGCATCTTTATACGAATATGTCGCAATTTTTTCGCCGCGTTATAGGGGGGTCTACTGTACCGTATTTGCAATTAATATAAGTTTACAACCAAATTATGAAAACTGGGTAGTATTTCACCATATTAAAAACAAATCACGTAATTTTGTAGAAGAGTGGTTAATTTAATGGACTCTTTAATTGAAACTCTAAGGCTCCACGAATCTTTTAAAACTTAAGTTAATGAACGAAACACATTATTTTTTTTTTTTCTAACAATATTTTTGAGGGGCATTTTTAATGCCGGAAAAATAAAGCCTCGTCCACACCGCTTCTGGGTAGAGCAATTTCAAATAGAACCTCCACAGTTTTTATAGTTTTAGATTATTATCCATTAAAAAGTAATGAAAAGTTAGAGGGTTCATTTCAAATTTGGAAGTTTTTTCCCCCACTCAGAAAGGGGGAATTCGCTTTATTTTTACAGCATTAAAAAGACCGATCGAAAATATTAAGCTTTTATTCTTAGTTTTTTCTATTACAAGTATATTTTCTAAGTTATTGATTTGTAACATCTTAGTGAAACACCCTATATGAGACAAGAGGGGAACCACCATAATGATAAAATGACTGCTTATAAAAGTACTCTTGGATTTTAGAACATGTTCAAAAATTATCTTAGCCTAAAATATTAAAATATAGTAATAAAACTGCTATATACATATACAGTATATTTACTTCAATGAAATCAAAGGAAGAGATAATTAAATATTAGATCATTTACAACATAGAGCATTTGAGCAATAACAGGTTGCACCTGTAGTAACACAACCACTTTCAATTTGAGGAGATAAGTCCAATGGAGTCCTACATTCTATGAGAAAAAATAAAACACATACTTTTGATTATGACTGCTTAAGTCTGAAATACCTGTACAATTTCTAATTGTTTCTTTTTTCATACTTTTAACTTATCCTTACAAGAAGGCATCTTATTGTGTGGAGTAAATGCAGTCATCAATTCAATATATATTATAAAGGTAAGTACAGTGTGCATGCTGCTAAAACTCAAAAATGAGTCCCGGTACGAAAACTCATCAAAATGTGACGAACATCGAATATTACAAATATAGAGGTTCCACTGTATTTTCTTTCTTAATTCTTTTAAGTCCTTGCATCATCACTTCAGTTGTTTGAAGTTCAAACTTTATGAATTTTATACGATCTTACACAAGGGAGTTATATGGTGTGGTAGCCCTTTATCCCCCATCCATGAAGAAGGTTCCCATTTTTACCTGAAGGGCGTGCTGTTGAAGATATAAGGGCTGGAAGTTTCACCCTCTAGAAATTTCTAGAACAGTCCAGAACATTCGAGAGAATTCCGGGATGTTCGGGAACATCTCAGACCATTCGAAGCCTTTTTTTGTATGGGTGGGACTACCCATTGGTGGGGATATATAAAGCAAGATCCATCGTGGGTTCAAACATCAGTTTCTTATCAGTGATGAAGGGAAGAACTGAAAAAGAAGTGAAAATTCCAAAGTAGTGCAGTGAGTGAATAAAAACAAACAGTGAAGTGTGAGTAGTCAAAGTGATACAGTGACTGAATAGAAGGGTTAGAAGTACGAAATAATCTAATAATCTCAATATTTATACTTATTTTTGCCCGGGCAATGCCAGGCTTACCTACTAGTACCAATATAAAAGTTGAAATATAGGTTCTGCTTTCTTATTTTTCCATTCAGCAATAAGAAAGCAGAAGAACTCGCACGTGAAGCACAATTGAGATTGTTATAATACTAGTCCTACATTCAGAAATGAATATGGAACCAGAAGAAGAAGAAATATAGGTGACATTGATAACTATAGACCTATAGTAATTACCTCTACTTTTTAGTAAAATTTTGGAAAAAGTAATTTCTTTGATAATGACACCATTTGACCATAAGTTTAATTTAATTTGTAGAAGTCAGCATGGATGTAAAACGAACTAAAACAGAAAATCTGGAATATTTTGAGACAATCTATATATATAATCGAGACGAGTTGATAATAATAATAATCAGCGCAGAGCCCAAACGGTTAGGAGTTGAAAGTTGAAATTTTGTACACAGTTCGGGTACGTCACGAGAACGCACACTAAGAAGGGATTTTTCGAAATTCCCCCCGGGGGGAGAAAGACAGGATTAAGGCTTAACACTTCCATGAACAATGGAAGTGTTAAGCCTTAATCCATCAACAATGGAAGTGTTAAGTAACAATGGAATTGTTAAGAGAAAGCGACGTGAAAGATTTACAGGTGCAGATGCAGTTCTTTCGTTTTTGCAGGAAATCGAACATATTTTTAGAACCATCTAAAAGTTCTCTAATTAGTCTGGAAACAAGGGGACCCAATTCTTGCATTCTGTGAAAATGGGTAAGGTTGACTGTAACATAATAATCTTTATCTTAGTTATCGTTACTTTTGCCCGAGCAATGCCGGGCCCACCTGCTAGTAGTAGATAATTCAGATGCATCCCGCTTAAGCTCAATCCAATGGCCTAGTGGATAAAATCACCGAACAACAATAATTTTGGGTACGAAGTCCGGCCACGTGAAGTTTTATGGGTTTTCCTCACGTTATTAACACCTTAATGGGGACCAGTTGTCCATAAAAGACCCACTAGAAAGCATTCCCTCCGGTAGATCGTCCACGCGTAGCGTCGTAACCAAACCATCCCTCGTAATCACGTTTCGCTCCCGCACGGTGGGCCCGGCCAAACCCACGATGCCCACAGGGTGAAGAGAGTTAAAAAGAAAAAATGCATAATCACATTTCAATATATCTAACAAAGGCTTTCGATTCAGTAGATCATAAAATAGTATTAGAAAAACCATTGATATTCATGTAAATTTCAACTACGGATGTTATATACAACGCGTACCATACAGTCTACCGTTAGCATAAACATTACATTTGCGTTACGGCACGGCGAATACACATACTTTATTGTATTGGCAAGCGCCAAATCCGACAGAGGGTGCCGTTTTTCAGCCAAGACGGCTGCCGAAACGGGTAAGGAACCAACGTACATCTCATATATCATTATTTACTATTGCTTTAGCTGTTTAATAAATGTTAGAATTTGACTGGACAACACAGCAACCCTACTTGTACACCATAAACTTGCATTTTCAAAAGACTATAGATATATGAGATGTACAGTACTACATAATGTGTGCTACAAACTTTTGACTGGCCTATGTTGTATAAGTGCAGAATGACAGCAGGGCAGCCTTCAGATTGGCACTAATTTTAACTATTATGATAAATAAAACTGTTTTTATATTGGAACACGGTGTACTGCTTAAAATATTTAAACACTTCTCACCTGTTAATGTGTAATAAACACGCTATCACATGTTTACAAAAACCAGACAGCCCCACTTTGCACGTGCATTCTCTCTGTAATTGAGATGTATTAAAATGTCAATATCTGAGATTGCAACACTAAAGCAACAACGTGAACTTCGGTGTTGTTGTTAGAGTTTAATCCACAAAATACGATGCGTCCAGCATCCAAAACGGCTTCACGTTCTACGAGACAACGTTTCCTGCCGCCGATATAGTCTAGAATTTGATAAATTCAATGATTTGTTCTCCATTGGTCCTCGCAGTAGACGGAAACCGAATCGGTTCAGGCACTGAACAAACACGTGGTCTGTTCCTTACCTGTTTCGGCAGCCATCTTGGCTGAAAAACGGCGCCCTCTGTCGGATTTGGCGCTTGCCAATGCAGATACGAACCGATTTGTTAGGAAAAAAACGCAGCGACGAGTCGCCGAATGTTCCGGAAACTTTTCAAATTGAGTGTGTGGCGCTTTCTGTTACGATATTTTATTATTAAAAGCTTTATATATTTCTAATTATTATAAAATGGCAAAAAGCTTACTTTCGAGGGTAGGATGGGTTTTATAAAACATTGTATATGCCGATAACGATTAAAATCGTCATCCAGATCCTACTCGAAATACGAGAGAGACGGCCTTTCCTTATCTCCCCCCGTCGACCTTCAATCCCCCAATACAAACCTTCCCGAAAAATTTCAGAAATTTTCGATCTATCGATCGCTTCTACGCCACGGGGTGGCGCCTTCGTCGAACTAAAGGGAAATGACGTAGTAGTCAACGGAGGAATAAATAGAGGGAGAGCGAGGTCGAAGGTCTCCCCCGGAAAGAGTCGCTACGAGTCGACGAAGGAAGATGTGGGAAGACGGTCTTAATCCGACGGTGTTGCGAGATTTGGCCGCCAACTGGCTGAAAGAGGACGCGCCAAATTTCGATTACGGAGGCTTCGTGGTAGGAAATAGACCAGTTTCGGCCGTAATTTTGGCCAAAGAAGATGGGGTATTGGCGGGAATTCCTTTCGCCAAGGCCATTCTGAAGGAAGCCGATTGCTCGGTGAAATGGAAGTGTGAAGAAGGCGAGGACGTAAAGGCTCCCGCCACGGTGGGCGTGGTGCGAGGGAGGGCCGCCGACCTGTTGCGGGCCGAGAGAGTGATGCTCAATTGCCTGTCGCGTGCCTCCGGCGTGGCCACCGTCACTCGCCGAATGAAGCGCCGTCTGGACGAGACCGGCTGGAAGGGAATCTTGGCCGCCACCCGCAAGTCGACGCCCTCCTTTCGACTGGTGGAGAAATATTCCGTATCGGTGGGGGGAGGATGCGGTCACAGGTACGACCTGTCGTCGATGGTCATGCTGAAGGATAATCACGTGGACCTCGTGGGATCCGTACGAAAGGTCGATCCTCCTATTCGATCTCGGGCTTTCCTTCGACGGGATTAAATTCCCGTGTCTTTTCAGGCCGTGGAGAATGCGAAGAAGTTCGCGGGATTCTGCTACAAAGTGGAGGTGGAGTGTCGTTCCTTGGAAGAAGCGGAGGAAGCGGCCGCGGCGGGTTGCGACATTCTCATGTTAGACAACTTCTCGCCCCGGGTGAGTACTTTACTGTCGAACAGGAAGTAATCGCGCGATAAAGCGAAAACATTGGGTAAATTCTATTTCTTTGCAATTAGTTATTATCGGAGTAGGAATGCGGGCGTAAGCAATCTTTTGGCATCACCGAGTTTTCCGTTTACTCCCTAACTTTTGGGTGACAAATTATTATTTACGAATATTTTTTTGTCGGTCGAGCGCGAAGAACGTGCGCTTTGGCTTACAAGAACCGTTAATTCGAGGATTTTGCCGGAGAGACCAGAGTTTTTTCATCCTTAAACGAAACGAATCCATATATTTTCTTCGTGGCCATTTCGTTTATAAAAATCGCATTCTGTTCCGTTTGTCGAGGCGCATGGTGGAAAAGAAGGAATAAAACTGAACGCAGTTTTATTGGTTTAAAACTTACTGTTAGGTTACGCGCGAGTGTTCGTACGGGCACACGCGTAAAGCAAAATCGGCGCTATTTCCTGCAGAGTATCTATAAAACTGAATATTTCTCGAAAAGCTTTTATCCGGTGTGTACGTTTCTATCACGGAATAACCCCGAAGCAGTTTCGAGATCGGTGACGTCAGGTCCGTAAGGCCCCCTCTTATAAGATTATAATTGTTTTCACTCGACATTCGAGCATATTGGAAGTTACGTCGATCCGAAAATATTTGCTTTTTGCGCGGCGAAAACTATTATTAAATACATCTGTTATTTGTACTGTACTTTACATTTTAAACTATGTCCTTTCCCTTATCGAATTTCTATCTCCAAGTATTTATCTTTCGTCCGTATCGTAGTCTGTTCCAGGCACCAGAAATCCAGCATCCGCCGTCCAGGAGGATTTCGCAAAAAATAATTCCGTTGAAAATAAATTACAATTGTGTATTTTCCGAACCAGTTTTTAATAATATTGGAGTGGCAAAAATCTACAGACAATCCCGGTCCCTACTTACGACCGAGGATCGAGAGTCAGAATTAAAAGTTAACCAATTGTATTTCGAAAAACTGTTAGGGAAGGAAATGCATTCATTTTCTTTTTTCACGTTCCTCGAGTTTGATTTTTCTCATTTATCCTTATTTCTATTATTAATCAGATACGTTGTGGTTTGAAAGTTTAGTTTCGTTCTTCCGATTCTCGTGATTTTTTTCAAATGTTACTTTACTGTTTATCTTCGAGAATTCCCTTCCTTCTCTTCGTATTCCAACGTTAAGTTTATTTAGCAATGGCAGTTTGCGTTTTGTAATACGTTTAATTTAAGAACGAAACACCTCATTTCTCGATCTCTCTAGAAAAAATTACAATATTAGAACTTGTTGCTAGGCCTACATTTATATTTATTTTCTGTGTCGAGGATTCGTTTTCGTAAATTACTATCTATATTTGCAAAAATAGAGGGTAAATGTTTACTTTTAATACGTGACGCGATTGTGGCAAACCTTAAAACTGAATCAATTGTCAAATTTTCGATGCAAAGCCACAATAATTGTTATAAACCAGAGAACTCCGGGATCAAACAGCCCGACGTAGGCTCGTAAATTTAAATTTTCCGACATTATAGAAAGGAAAGAAAAAATATTACAAACTCTTTTTCATATATGACAACACGTAAATATAGTGGTAACACGGAGTAAGGATTTTAAAGACCATCTTAAGACCACTAAAAGAGCTCTTTCCGGATATATTAGTTTGTCCAGGCTCGTAATGGAGCGGCCGCGATAGATATATTATTATCAAATGGTGAAAATTTGAGAATCCGACGGGTCAGAGCGGAGATGACGCCTTTACCATCGCACAATGAAATGGCATCCCACCTCAATTGGAACACTGCGTATTAATTTAATGTTCTTTAACTGCTAAGAGTGAAATTTCCTTTCATCGAGGATGATTTCTCAAGTTTCCTTCGTCTATACAGGCTTATTTTGTCGTATCGATGACGCGTCCATTATGAATCGTCTTCCTTTTGTAAGTTCTGTCCTCCCTCCAAAAGTGTCCTCTTTTTCGATATTCGAAGACTAATCCGTAAATCTCCGTATTCGATCAATGTCGAACCGATCCGTTGCGTGTGATGCGATACGACGCGTGTTACGGCTAACGGGAATCTTAGCCAGGCACTAGTTCAAGTATCTCGAGGTTCAAATCTGTTCTGGGATATACGTTCGTTCTTCTTCTCGCTTCTCGCACTCGCCGACGTCCTAAGGGTGCAACTATGCAGACGCGAGCGAGCGAATTCTCGCTGGCTCGGAAAATATGTTGCGAGAAGAGACGAGACGCGATAAATATAAAAACCTGTCAGATATTTACGAGAACCAGAAATTCGCTCTCGCCAGCGTTATTTCTCGCTTTTCGTTTGTGCATGGTTTTCCTTTTGCGAAAACTAAATCTCTCGCTCTAAATTCGCGTCTGCATAGTCGCACCCTTAGGGGTGTTTAGTCATAATTCCACGAATAATAGCTTGGCGCCACTGGCCACTCGACCAAGCGCACGTACGGTACAAAGTGTCCGTTACAACAGGTTTGTATTTAATACGACGATTCGTCGAGGCTCTGTACAGTGCGACGAGATGCAATTACGAGACGCATGCTCTTCCCGAGGAAGACCTCGAGAGAGAGCTTAAATGGCTTCGTTTACTTATTATCGAAACGCAACGCGGCACCTACGCACGCAGTAGAGATTATTATAGTGCGTTATTGTCGCAATGAATAAAATGTTTTTTATTACCATATTGTTTTCCTTCAATTTATTAATGTCCTCTTTTTCACGGTAAAAAAGTCGGTCACCTTACCGTTATAGTTCTGGTTTCGGAACGACACAGTCTACAGTTACGCGAGTGTCGAGAATGACACGCACGCCACAAACTATTAGCGAATGGTCTTATCGAACGACTCGGTATCACGCGATATTCGAGACTGGGCGCAAGTTTTGTAATTACCGAAGCGATGACGATTTTCGTTCGTTTCGAATACCTCAAATAGAAATCTGATTTATCGGACCGATTGACGAAATGCAATTTTCGATAATAAAATAAGATGTTTTCTAGGAATGCGGAGAAACCGCCACCAAGATAAAGGAATTATGTCCCCGGGTGAATATAGAAGCCAGCGGAGGAATTACGGAAGAAAACATCACAGATTACGCGCATCCGTCCGTCGACGTCATTTCCTGCAGTCGCTTGATTCAGGGATACAAAACCATCGATTTCTCCATGAAAATCGACAAATCTTCGCTCTGAGAGATCATCTTAAGAAAGGAGTTTCCATATCTTCTCCTACTTCTCTATTTTGTATTTTTGCCAATGGTGCAACAATCTTACTGTTTTTTATTATTAATTAATTAATAAACAAGATACTTTTTCTATCATTGAAATTTCTTCTTTCGACTCGAACTTAAAAACACTATCGACGCTTTTCGGAGTGGATTCTTTCCACTTAATACGCGCTTACGGGCATAACGGAAGTGGACCGAGCCACGAGATTTTGTTTCGTATTTTCGACCATCTCGAAGCAGATTCCGGGGACTCCCGTAAACGTTATCCAAATCGACCCGCTTTCAAATTTTAAACGTGACCACGCAGTAGAAAGTCGACGATGAAATTTCGGCACTTACGCCGTTTAGGGGGTACGGAAGTTTGAGAGGTTCTCTTCCATAAAATTAATCGATTATACACTAATTTCGAAAAACGCGTATAATTTGCTGGAAACGATCGATATAAAATATGCTATAAACAAAAAATTGCCGGAATACTTACCGGGTGTACCCCGTTCGAAGACGTAAGAAAAGCCATTTAGTTTCGGACTTGGCAAATTGGCCGAGTGATCTCGTTTCCTTTATCCGGCGCATATCGCCATCGAAAAATGGCCACATGGTAGTCGTAGCTACGAAACATTTCGACTTAACTTCGAGAGTACGTAATGTCGAATTCGTCGTCTATTTCTTTACGCAAATTATTTCTTCTTGGACATTTTGCATAGAATTAAGGAAATTTCTAATCGCAGCGTGTGGCTGCTTTTCGTAGGATTGGAAGTAGCCCATTACTACTATTTCTATCCGAAGTAATTCGTTATGAAAAGTAAAACGGGAGGACGACTTTTCGTTTTATAATCGTAATCGTGGATTCTTATTTTAAATCTCAGGAAGATATCCTCGTATTATCGGTGCCGGATAAAAATAAATCTAGAGCCTCGGACAATGGCCCGAAGCTCGAAATCTTTGCGGGCCGTCCGGTCATTAATTTTGTTACGCTAGGTCGGTGTTCCGCAACCGGTGTGCCGCCACGTGGTGAAAGGTGTGACGAGAACTTTTACATATTCTGTTAATTTCAACTTTTATTTATATATTTTTATCAGTTGTTGCGTTTCTTAAGCTTGTATTTCATTCTCTGCCGCAGCACCGATGAAATTATATGTAAAATAAATTTGCTCACGGGTATCGATGTCTTTTAATTAATAACAATAATAAAAGGTTAGTGGCATTACGTAATTCTATTAATAGTATCGTATCGTACGTTTTTGAGGGGATAACATTTTGGTGCGCGGTGTTGAGTCGCGGGTGTGCCGCGAGTAGAAAAAGGTTGCGGAACACTACGCTAGGTTATAGTTTCTCCAACGGGACCAATAATAAATATACGCTCGCTATACACTAGACTAGTCGTTCTTAACCAGTGTTCCGCAAACCTACCTCCATGTTCCACGAAAGAAAAGATTTTAAAGTTTTTATTCAAATTTATATTCTCATTGTTATATTCGTAGATAATACCACGTTTCTAGTTCATTCAATATATTCGAGTTTATTGCTTTATCGTTTCCAGAGAATAGTAAACGCGGAATTGCTTATCAATTTTTGAACGTATTGGCGCTAATGCTCCGTGTTCCGCGGCCTCGGTAAGGTTGAGAACTACCGCGCTAGACCTTGGTATTATCTGGAGAGCACCCTCGAAGATTCCTTCCGAATGTTAATATCACTCGACGTACCATCTTCCAATTTCTGCTCATTACAGAACAGCCATAGATGTTAATTAATACATTAATTTTTTTTTAATTTTCTGTTTTCAAACTATTCGATATCCGAAAATTATTATACAGGATGAACAAAAGTCACTTTGCACTTACGCCGCAAGACACAATGTAGAAGCGCAATGTCTTCCCGATCATTCGGTATTCAATTAAATTTAATAATTCAAATTAAATTAAGAGATGGCGCCTAACACTAATCTTATTAAGTCAAATTACTTTCATTCATTCAGGGGCGGAGTTAGGTTTTTCGGGGCCTAGGGCTTATTGAAATCCAACGGGGCCCATTTTTTGTTAGATTAACAATCTTTAAATNGAATTTAATAAATTAAAATAAATATACAAATAAACTGAAATTTATATCACTATATAATTGACTACATACAACATTATAATAATTATAAAAGACATTCATACAAATTGATATTAAATTGCCAAACACTGTAACCAGGGGCAGATCTACATAGGGTTAATAGGGCTTAAGCCCTGGGCTCCCAAGAGTCAAAAGCCCACAAGTTGAATTATCATCATAAATTTTTAATACTTTTAAAAATTTTTACTTTTCATTAACAATGAGCACTTATCATATAGTAAAAAATAGTTACTATAAATTAAGTGCTCGTTGTTAATGAAAAAGTATTAACAATTTATGCTGATAATTCAATTTTTGTGGGCCCGGGGTTTAAGCCCTATTAGTCCCTGTGTAGATCCGTCTCTGTTCGCATGGCGTCTTCGGGTTGCGGTTGATTGACAGTTCTCCACTCTTCACGGTTGGCGGCTTTTCCCAAGCTTGAGCCAGTCCATTTTTTCATGTCTTGCCACGTTAGCCTAGGCCTTCCCTTTCTCCGTCGCCTTCCACCATTCCTTGACTTGACAAACTGCAATTTTCATCAGTTCTCTTGGGGTTCCTATTATACACCTAGATTATGCTGTTTTTCTTCTCCGAATGCTGACCATCGGGTTTCTTTCCATTCCAAAACTACTCATAACCTCCGCATTGGTCATTCTATCTATCCAACTAATTCTGTTCATTCTTCTAAGAGACACCACATCTCAAAGTAATCTACCCTATTAACTGTCTCTTGTTTTATTGTTCGCGACTCATATCCGTATATAGCCACACTCCAATCATTGTTATAAGTACAGTATTTTTAGTTTCAATATTTCTCTCTCTTAATACCAAGACAAAAGCAGCTTCAGCCTTTTTTATTCTGTTTTTAATTTCATAATTACATCTGCTATCCTCAGTTATCCAACTTCCTAGGTATTCACACATTTTTACCTTTTCTATTTTCATTCCATCCAACATAATCTGTAGATCTTCGTTTTCTTCTCTCGAAATTATCATAACTTTCAATTTGTTCACGTTTATTTTCATTTGGTATCTTGTTTTTTCTCACTTCTTTCAATTTATTTAGAATTTTCTGTAACTTTTCGATGTTACGTAGCAGAGCGATGACGTCAGCATACCTAATATTGATAAGATGCCCATTAATTTTTACACCGTCGAGATTTTCGAACGCTTCTCTCATCATCCATTCACTGTATAAGTGTTGGGGACAAACCATATCCCTGTCTTATTCCTTTTTTTAATCCGAATCCATTTGCTATCTCTCCCTGAAATCTGACCATTACTTTTTGACTTTTATAGATGTAGATTTTTCTCAGTAATTTTTTTATCAATACCTATTTTTTGCAGAATCTCAAACAACTTTGATTAACACTATCAAAGGCCTTCTCCAAGTCGACAAAACTTACAAATCAATCATCCTTTCTCCCGTAAGTCGTATTGTATCATTGTAATGGCCTCCCTTGTCCATCTGCCTTTTCGAAAACCAAATTCTCTCATTTAGTTTCCGATTTATATAGTTTTCTATTCTTTGCTGTATGGTGTTAACTAAAACCTTTGAGGCATGGCTTATCAAGGCCGTGTATATCACGATCATGCAGTTTTAGGGACAGGGATGAAGATAGATTATGTGAAATCATCCTGAATATCTGCCTCTACAATTTTGTTAATAAAATTAGTTAGGATTTCTTGTTCCATCTTCCCCCATGGCCTTAAGAGTTCAACTTATATTTCATCTATTCCTGTTGCTTTTCTGTCCTTCAGCTTTTTCAATGCAGCGTGAATCTCTTCCTTAAGAAAGGTTGCACTCTGTTCTTTCTGCTTCATCTCTTCTAGGTTTAAATTCCGTAGAGATTGTCTATATATATTTCCCCTCATCGTAGTACTTGTTCATCTTTCTGCAATAAAATGTTTCCATTTTCATCTCTCAGAGCCCCAATTCTGCATTTCCTTTTTTCCCGAGATTAAGCTTCGCTTTTCATACTCTCTTTCAAATTCGTTCCCATTTGCGTGATGCTCCATTTCCAGACATAAATGATTCAACCACTTTTCTTTTGCCTGTTTGCAAATTATTCTTATTTGTTTATTAATAATTATATATTTTTATTTTTCTTCTGTGTTATTTAGCATTTTTATATCGTCTTTTTTCATCCATTTTTTTTACTATCTCCTCTGTAACCCAAGGGTTCTTTATTTGTCTTCCTTTCTTACCGAGGATGTCAACCGAGGTGTTTAATTTTTTGTTTCAAATCATCCTAGATTTCTTCTTCGCTTCTGTTAGCGATGAAATTTTGAAGTCTTCTCGATATGTCAGCCTAAAAAGTCTTCTTGATGCAGTCTTTCCGCAAAGCCTCTATGTTGAGCCATTCTTTTTTTTTTTTTTGGCCTAACATGTTTCAGCCTTATTCTTAGTTTTGTTACCAGTAGACTATGATCACTGTTGCAATCCACACCTGGACAAGTCTTTGTGTTTATTATTGCTGTTTATTAATGTGTTTCTTAAGGTTTGCATAGCTGTGTAGAATTTTTGTATCCATTCCAAGAGTTCATAACGATTTTGATTCTGTTACATCATTTGAAGCTTTTCTCTCGTTTGATCTGTGTGATTCCTGTAATTCCAGCACAGGTCTGCTGCATCTCTCACTGGTAGCCAACTGCACAGGGATTCTATCCATTCCTCTACTAAATGGATTATTTCTGAATCTTCTGTCCATCAAATCTTCGGGAGATACAGATGCATGGTGGTTCCCCATTGCCTTCCATGCATCTATATCTCCCCAAATTACTTAGTATGTAATTATTAATAGCAGCAATAATAGAGCCTGATCTAATTGGCAATTGGCTTTAATTTAATTAATTTACTATTACTCTATACAATAAACTGATTTATACTTAACAATAAAAAATAATTATCTTGTCATCTAAAAGAAAAAATTATCTACCTTTAAATTGATATAAAACTGACAGAAGACTAAAATTTTGACCAATGAAACTAATTATATTAATATTTGAAAGTTTATAAATTAAACATTATTATTTTCAATGTAATGTGAAATTAATTTTTAACAAATTTATTCAATTGCTATCCAATTTACAAATGAATAAATTAACTATAGAAATTTCATTAAATCCAACATCCATAAATGATTTTAAATAGTAATTTAGGTGAGTGATATTTAGTTCAAATATCAAATATATGTAGGCTGTTTTTTTTTTCAAGCTCGGATGGTCCATAAAATAACAAACAAGTGTAAATAACGAAATGAATTTATTACCAAAAGTTAGGTACAAACGTGGTTACTTTTCGACATAATCACCGTGAAGATTGAAGAATTTGTCGTATCTGTGGACGAGCTTTTCCATCCCCTTATCATAGAATGTTGCTGCCAGTGAATTGAGATGGCCTTAATTAATTAACAATGTTGTTTGTACCATGTTTGTACCTAAATTTTGGTAATAAATTCATTTTGTTATTTACACTTGTCTTTGTTTTATGGACCATCAGAGCTTGAGAAAAACCACCCTCGTATATTTAGTTTAGTTCAAATTTTAATATTTTTCAACTTTAGCCAAAATGTACAGTACACAGAGCCAATTTATCAAAACAACTGAAAATAAAGTATTTTAGACCAAAGATACGAATTTTACACAATATAAATTTTAGATATTTTTATCACATGATAAATATTAAATTATATTTACATAGAAGTGAAATGAGAAAAAATTATTTTCTTTACTCCATTAACAATGAACTTATCTATTATAAACTGAAATGAAAATCAATATTTTTGGATTAAATTCTGATCATTGGTAAGAGATAATGTTCTTACAAGAAATTTTTGGTTTGTATGGGAAGCATTACTTATAACCAGGGCTAGAAAATGTGCTCCTCATTTTTGAGGAGTGAAAATTATAATCAGCAAATAAGAAATGTGATAGTTGGATGAACAATCATTTGTATATTGCATGTATCCAATTACAGTAGTTATCAGAATTGAAATTCTTTAGAAATTATGGTCATTAGTTAATTATGGCCAAGATCAAAAGAGAATTTGCCTACTCTAATAAATTTCCACTGAGAAGTGAACCTTAAAAGTGATGTTGCTAAATGTAACTTGAATGTAAACATGTGCAATATTTAATATTCAGAGGTAAAATTTTTCCAATTCTGAATGAAAAATTAGCATTTTAAAGATTTTATTAGTAATAAACATAACTACTATTAATTTAATTATCATATTAATCTTTTATAAATTCTGAAAGTGACAGTTTAATGTCAATGAATTAAAATTTTAAATGTATATGCTTATATTACTGATATATAATTATACAATTTGTGATTTTCCTTTGTACATTGCACTATGCAATACAATGCAACAAATTACATAAGAAGCTTACATTTAGCAATTTATGTTTAGCTTGATTAAAAAAATTTTTTAAACAGTTTAAATTTTAAAATTTCACTGGATGATAAAATTTTTTTTAAATTAAATGTTTTAAAAATATTGCAGCAATGATGAATATAACAAAATTACAGCAAAGGTGGTTTTGTTTTAAATCAGGGTTGGGCAACCTGTGGTCTACAGTAATATTTTTTGCAGCCCATGTAGCATAAAATATGAATAAACATATCAATTTTCCAGCTTAAGGAAGTATGCAGCTAAAATTCAAACATTATTTTCTACAACTTAGGTATGTGAATAGTTTTTTTGCAATGAATTTAGTAAAAATTAAAACAAGAAACCAGCTAACAGACACATCAAAACAAATTTAAAACTAGCCGTGACTAATATTTAACCAAACATTTCCAATATATTATATTTACATCAGTTCCAGAAGCTAAATTAAGTATACCTATGTTATATATAAATAAATAATCGTGATTTACCAAAATTTTTTTCCTTCCTCTTTTCTCTTGTATGCGGCCCATGACAGTTTAAAAGTTTCGAAATGTGGCCCTTACATAGATAAAGGTTGCCCATCTCTGTTTTAAATGATGATGTCTATCTACTTTATTTATTATTTTTAGATCTGAGAACAGTTGTTTTGCTATTGGCTTTGGTTAATTGAAGTAGCATATATTGCAAAATTTTAAGTAAATTCTAAAATGTTTACAAGGCTCTCGTATGAACAATGCTATCTTAGATATAAGTCTTTTCATAGCTTTTATGCAAATTTTTCAGATTTATCATTTCATTCACTTAGAAAAATGTTAAATAATTCTATTCTTAAATTAAAAACAATTTTCAGTTTATGGATGAGACATTTGTCTGATCAGTGAAGCAACACAAAGGTTTTCAAGCCCTGTTTATAATAAGATAAATTCGGTCTCATTCAAATATTATAAGCAGTTGATATTAGCATAATAAAATTTTGTAAAAAATCCAAAATACATTAAAATCTGTGCTATAAAAGTGTGTCCATGTATTGTTAAATTAAAAGACTAAGAACACCAGATATAAACATATTTTCTTTCTTTTTTTTTTCATTTAACTACTACAAAGGAAGTTACCACTGTAATTTTGTGATCACAATCTTACTGAGAATAATATTTTTTTCATATTAGCTGTATTTTGGAAGAAATTTTTCTACCTGCTTGTTTTTCCAGTTTTGGTTTTACTCACAAATGTCTTGAGGCAATCTTGTTTTTATAATTTTGAAATAATAATGGCTGCCAAGGGAACAATCTATCTCTCCATTTTTTCTAAATAAATCAGCTCTGCAATAACTTAAACTTGTCAACTAGTTTCTTGCTTATTTTCTAGTCACTTGTTGCATTACACTCCTAGAAGTGAAAAACAGACCTGGATAATCATAAGCACAGAAACAAACTGCCATTCATAATAGAAATTTATAATAAAGTAAAAATTAAAATATTTAAGTGAAAATTAAAGTATGTTATAATATAATATATGTATTATATTATAACATATTAAAATTGTTTAAAATTTACCTTGATGATGGGGTACAAATTGAGTGTTTGGTGGTACAGGAACCATTGTGGCACTAGTTGGGATGGCTCCTGGTTGAAGAATATGATTTCCTGGTGTTTGACCGTGAAGGGGGTGTCCTTGTAGAGCGTGCGGTCCTGATGATGGAATGGAAGAAGGATGATGATTAGGTACAGGCTGCTGATGCATCAATACCACTGGCTGAGGTGCTGTAGGAAAGTTTGAGTGATGGTGGGAAATAGATGCCATGTGTGTCGGATTACCAACGTGCTGGAGAGAGTGTTGCGAAGTCATTGGTCCGTGGTATAGGACAGGCTGCGGGGTGGGAGCCGTACCTAAATGTCCGGTCGGTGTCGGCGTGTGAGCGGGAGTCCCGTGCGACACGGGAGGTTGGTGGACTGGCGACGGTGCATGCATAGTTGGAGTCTGAGACTGCGGAGTGGAAGTATTTGAATGTGGTCCAGGTGTTCCTTGTGGCATGGCACTCATAGGTAGAGTTGTACCTGGATGATGTGGCACTGAAAACATTAGAAGTTAAGTTTAGTGGGAAATATTTATTTTGAAATAATTTTTTTAAATATAAAAGCTTTCATTTCTTACTCTTCAAATAAAAACACGTACATGCATGCAACTGTTCACTTTTAGAATAAAGACGAAAATTGTTCAGTATGAAACAATTACTTGCAAGAAAAAGATTTCCTATCTAACTATATAAAGCTGAAAACACGGATTCTTTCTTTCTGTCACTATATGCCAAAAATGGCCACTAGGGGCACCCCTAGCTATTATTTAAATTAACAATAAATTCAGTATATTATTACTTGATGCGGTTTTTTGCATTTTTGGTGCGATTTAGTAGGGTACACCACAAGAAATTCAGTATATTATTACTTTTATTTGTAATAGGAATTTATTATTTATACCATGGAATGACACTGCTGCTGCTAGAACACCCATAGGGTGCATCCCGGGCTACTAGAATAGAAGGATTAGAAGTACAAAATAATCTAATAAGCTTAATCTTTGTTGTTTTTTGCCTGGGCAACGCTGGGCTCATCTGCTGGTATTGAATAAAACTGTTTTATTGGAGTATATTATATTACAAAGCTGTATTCAAACTTCTTCAGTCCATCTTCAGGGATTAAAAATCAGCACTTTAAAATGTGTTTCTTTTTTTTTCCTTTTTAAGAACACCAAAATTTTTTAAGATTCCAGAACATTTCAAACCTTAAACAAATTAGAACCAAGAACTTTAAAACATGTTTTGAAATTAAAAACATTTAAAATCCATATCACCTATAAACCAATTCTTATTAACATTGCCAGAGATTTTAAACTCGTCAACTAATAACACCGCCTAAAATAACTCCTACTCCTACATATCATTGCTGCACATAGTCCAGTTTTTCTCACCTTCTGTTGGCCCTATTCCTCCCAACTTCCTTTCAATCTATTCAGTATATACTTCTAAGCCACTAGGAGACTTTCCAAATCTTTACTATTTAACCTCTTCCTATAAATCCATGATCTTTCAGTATCTCTTTGTGTTTTCTCCTTCTCTCGCATCCTCAATAATTTTGTTTTCTTCCCAAATTACTTCCACTTCATTTCTTCTTGACTCAATGCAGTAATTATCTTTCCTGCTCTCAGATCTCTCTGATGCTAATCCATTCTAATTTTAAAGAGTTCTTGTAGTTTCATCCAAATAAATCTCACTTTTCTCTTTCTCAATCGTCAGAATCATATAAATGCCTGCTCTATCCAATTCATCCCACTTCTTATCATTTCACAAAACTCACAAAGTGTATTATTTCTCTTATGAACTATTATCTCCTTTGTTCCTTTCTGTAACCTCCTACCCAACTTCTCCAACCTCATGATTGGAGAAGTTGGGTAGGAGGTTACAGAAAACAGTAAATACATAATGCAGCAAAGCCCTTTCTTCACTAAGGTCACACTCTCTTCCACTTTCCTCCCATCTTCCTTCTCTGCTATTAAATTCACTCTTCCACTTGTATAGCCACTTTTCTAAACATATACTGTCTTATTCTGTAAGCCCAAAGCCAGTCCAAAGAGTTAGGTGTTACGGATTTTAAATGTATTAACAAAAGTTCCAAAACAATTCTAAAGTTCTTGGTTCTAATATTTTAAAGTTTGTAATATTCTGAAACCTTAAAAAATTTTTAGTGTTCTTAAAAATAAAAAAAACAACTGATTCTTAATCCCAAAGATATACTGAAAAGTTTGAAAGCACTTGGATGTTTTTGTGATATAATATACTTCAATAAAGCAGTTTCATTTAATTTAAGATTAAGACTTTACAGTGTTAATGAATTTACTGAACAAGATTTTTTTATTGTAATGAAACAGAACTGATTTAATGGAATTAGGAATAACAATATTTGATAATAATGTTAAGTCAAAAAACTCTTTTGATTATGACTAAAAAAATTAATGATATTGATTCTTATAAATCTCTAAAGACACCAAAGTAAAATAATAATATTTTAGAAAGAAAACATTTTGAATTAAAAAAACTGAAAGCAAGACTTTAATTTTTTTACATTCTTTGTCTCCTTATAAAATTTTTACTTAATTTTTTATTACTTTTGTATGATAATGGGGAAAAAAACAATGTTCTAAAATTTAGTTCTTTCTTATCCAATAATTTAATTTATTGGATTAGTATTTTCAAAATAACTTTTCATAATTATTTTGAAATTTTTTGAATTATTAAATAATTATTTTGAAATTTTTGAAAACAGCTTACAAAATCAAATTTTTGATTTTGTAAGCTGTTTTCCAAATTGTGAAATTTTGACAAAATATTCCACTTCTTATCTAAACAAATCAATCAGTTTTGTCCAGAACTGCATTGTCATGTTATAGATTAAAAAAATGAAACTTGTTTCCCTACTTAATGTTTATCATAAAACTGAAATATCAGCTTAAGAAAATTACCTTAAATGTCAATTTTATTATCAAGTTTGAAATGCTGAGGGAGTGAACAGTTACTAAGGAAATAAAATGAATAATGATAGCATACAATAGTATTAACACCACAAGCAAATAATAATTAACTATTTTCATTTTAGTTTTGAGTATTTACTAATTTTTTTTTCTTACTACAGTGGGTGATCGGTTAACGAACAGATTGGACAACAAACAAATCGGATAACGAACATCCCACACAACAAACAAGAAGAAGCAACATAAAATAACGAATACCAATTGGACTTTCCTTGTCTTCGGGCAACAATTCGAAACTTTTTGGAGTGTGGGAGACGTCGACATCGACGCTCAAGCCGGTATATACCGATCGGATAGTATTCCTCTGAACTTTAAAACTCTCCCTTATAATTCCAGCCTATTATTTTTATGACAAAAGAATTCTTTTATGTATTCGCAAGACTGTCGGGTAGGCACTCATTAAGTTTTGTGTCTGTTTTTTTTTGTAAGGTGAGAGTATAATAGCAAAGGTAAAGAGTGGGCAGAAGATACCTAATGTTGCTGGGTACTATGGCGTGAACAGGTCTACAGTAGGCCGCAGTTCATTTTTTTAAGAAAAATACTATATAAGAAGACTCAAGCAGCTAAAGGAGTAACAAAAATCACATATGAGAAATAAAGAACATTGAAGAGTTCGTAATGGAACCTGAAACGGATCTGACGACAGAAGAACGCCAAGAACGCTTGAATGAAGAACACCAAGAAACTCGACGAGATATGTTTTCTTCTGAAAATGCGGACTTATGCCGATATCTGCTATTAAAGATCTTGTAAAGAAGTGGGATGATGTCAGAACAACGGTCTTAAAATGGCATCCAAACCAGGTTGAGGCTTGGGGGTTTCTACAATTGCAATGCTATTAATTACTTACGAAAAATCCTGAAGAAGAGAGAAAAGCAATCGACATTAGACAGATTCTTTAACCCTTTCAAAGTGAAAAAACATGACTTATTAGTCATGTTTCTTCAGTTTAACGCAAGACTGTGTACGTATGTATTTTTATTATTACATATAAATAAACGTAGTAAGAAAGTATAGCCTATATTTTTTATTTTGGGGAGTCTCCAGAACGAATTAATCAAATTCCCATTAAAACCTATGGTAAATCAATAATCGGTTAACGAACAATTCGGATAGCGAACAAAGTCTTGGAACGGATTATGTTCATTAACCGATCACCCACTGTATAATAAAATTAATTATGATATTAATCTATTTTGTCATCATACTCTAAATCTACAAGTGTCAAATTGTATGTATTGTCAGTAAATTTTCATAATCCGTTGGTTAAATAATCTTTCATAAATTTACATGTGTACATATATACTTGTAATTAATTATTAAATTTTGGTAATATACTTTACTGTAGAATTTACATAGTATTTTATTGTAAATAGATCAGTAATACTTCTGCATTAAACTTAATATAAAATTAATTTGTCTGATATATTTGGAAGATAAATTGTATAAATAAGAAATATTTATTAAATTTAAATAATATAAAATTCCCTATCTAGTATTTATACATTTAAATGCATAAATACAGTCTACACTAAAATGGAATGCTATGACTGAAGAATTGGCACATGTTAATATAATTTAAAATTTTTTATTGCATAATACAATTCTAATAATCAATTATAAATAACAGGATACTGAAATTATTGTAGTATTTCTCATTACTATAACTCTTCCATATGAATTCCAAAATAAGTTCAACAAAGTAACTCAACATAAATTATGTCACTTATATGAAATTTCAGTTCATTTTGTTTATCATCTTTTTCAAGCAGTTTTTAATTTATTCTAATTAAAGTTGCTTTTTGAATTCTGAACTTTGACACGCATTAAAATTTTTTTGAAAAGTTTAACATGCCTGCTTAGCGTGGAGGTTCAAAGATTTGCCATCTCAGATCACCTAGACTTTAAAATTAAAAAACATTTCTTGAAACACTCAGAATAGATTTCACATTAGGAAGCAAAGTTTTCAATTATAATCTACTGAATACACTAAAATAAATAATTACATTTAAATGTAGGTAATGAGGTATAGAGAAATTTATTATATTAAGTCTCAGCCACATAAGCCACTATATTTGCTACACTTGCTACAAGTCAAAAAGATTGCTGTCATATTAGACATTGGGAGCAGCCGTATGGAATCACTACAGTTGTATATGATAAGCTTGCTATGTTAGACACCAGATGATCTTTGAATATGGATTTTTGGTTGACATCATTGACTACATACATGCATAAAATAAGCATTCTTGCATATTTGTATACCAGTTCTATTGCTATTTGAGTATTTTACTTCAATAAATATGTTGAAAGCTTTAATATAAGAAATAATACATCAGTATCTATGGAACATGTCTATTGACAAATACTATCTAACTGGGACATGTTCAGATGATAATATTGAGTTTAGCTTCATATGAATGTCATACATCAGATGAAATTTACCATATTCGGATGTATATTCATTCAATTCAAGAACTCGCTTCATTTTGAGCAATAGCAAAAGTAAAAATATTATAATCAAAAGAATCATTATCCCACAATACACCATAAACATCTTCCATCTTGGAGAATGGTAGAAAACAACCATCCAGTGTAGTTTCCCTATCATATTGGTCTGTGTGACTAAGGCATTAAGCATTTATGGTATAAAACAAAATGTATTTTTTTATTTTGATCTATAACATAAAACTAAATCTACACTTACTATACATATGTGTTGGAAGATGTGTTTCTCCATATGATCCTGCAGGAGATGTAGGTACCATTGCAACTGGTTGTGGTGACATCACTCTTGGTCCTACTACAGAATACATCTATAAAAATATATTTAAATTATTTAAGACTACGTGAAAAATCTTAAATTTTTGATACATACTTATATATATAACTTGTATTTAAAATATACGCATTATATTTCAGATAAACAAGCATAATAACCAGAAAATTACATATCAGTTTGTCATTACTGTTAGTGAAAAATTGCTAATTTTGACACACAATTATTATATATTTGAACTATGACATTAAATAATTGCAATGTTTGATAGATAAATTTCTTACCTGTAGATAAGGCATTGTTGGTTGTGGTCCTTGTGCTTGCATGACACCAGGTGGTGGAGTATATTGCATTGTTAATTGAGGATGTGCTGACAGTGCTGCAGGAGCTAAAATTGGTGGACCAGTTGCTGCAGCAACATGTACAGGGGGAGACATATCAGGTCTTGGTTGAAGAGTCATTGGAACAGCTAAAAATGGATGCAAATATAATTTATGGAAAAAAATTGAATAATTAATTAGCTTAACAAAACAAATTTACTTAAATGTAATCATGACATTTATTAAATACAGAAATATATAAGAAAATCTGGCATGACAACTATAAGAAAATACAGATATCCTCTGTAAAACACGATAGTTTGTTTCATACAGCACAGCAATTTTTCAGAACCTAAGGACTAGTACAAAACATAGGGTCAGGTTCCAACAGTAGCAAAATTATACTATTCAAAATCATATGTCATTGAAAGTACTAGGGCAATGAACACCTCAAATATATGCTAATTCATTAATTATTCTTGTCAAATTCTTAGTTTTGGAATGCTGCAACTTGATACTTGGCTGCAATTTCTTAGAGAAAATGAATGCGCCCAAGTGAATGAGTTGGTGTTGACAATCAACTATACTCTTCAATGAATTTGGAATTAGTCATTGCCAGTGACACTTGTCTCCTGCTGTTTAAGGCCCCTACAATTCCCACCATCATAATCCAAATTGCACTACTACTGGAGTTATTGTCACTTCACACTGGAGAGAAAGTTCTGTTTTTGCCATTTTGTGCAGTACCAGCTAAAAATGAAACTTCAGGTGTGGGTGACAAACAGATGTTACTTTCTGATACATGTGGATGAATGGAATCAGATACACCAATTATATCATCAGTTAAGAAAAAGTCCCAGACACATTCAAAGATTATTGGTGCACATCCTGATGATGCAGAATTACTGAAACAATGATATGATGTCTGTTATTGCTTACTGCTCTATTGACCTGATGACTTGGTTTAGACCTTGATCCCATATATTGCCAGGCCATACATTGCCCCAATATCAATTAAGAAGTGGAGCTGTCACTTCAGCCAAAAGCTGTCTATGTAATCTAAACAAAGCCTTTTGTTTCCCCAAACAAATTCTCTGATGTTCCCCAGTGATGACATCTTGAGAGAAGGGAAATGCCACAGATTTTATAAGACATGGATCAGGAACCAGGTTGATCAAATTTTAAAATGTTAATTCTATTCTAAGGCCCAACACACTCAAGGAACACTCCAATTTTTGGATGTTCAAATATGAACATCTAAAAATTGGACTACTATAGTATAAATTAGCAAATATTTTGTTCTGTTATTTTGCAATTAATTAGTTGACTTTTGTTAATTTGTAGGGTTAATAAATTATATATGTCCTGTGACAATATATGTAGTATAATTAATTTAGCATAATAATATGAAATAAATGTAAAAAAATATGTGAGAATCAAACAAATAAAAGGAAAACAACACAAAGATGACATCATCAGAAGCTAGTAAATGTCAACTTTCTGACCTGAGAGAGTGTCAACTATGCTTTCTCAGAGTCGGTAGTGACACCTTTCCCACAACTTTTAGTCACCTCCAAGGTAGTTCCTGCTTTGAATATGATGAAGAAAAGCTAATTCCAGTCAGTCATCACCCATTCTTTCAACTGTTCAGTTTAGTGTGTTTGTGTGCCTTTCTGGATTAGTGTCTTCTATACCCTCTAATTCCTTGTCACCACTCTACCTGCTGCTTCTCCCCTTGAACATTTAACTGAAGGACTACACATCCCTTAACAAGGATTCTAGTTCCAATTTGTGAGGTACCAAAAATTTATAATCTCTCTCTCTCTCTCTCTCTCTCTACATAATGCAAATACCCTGTGTAACATGTTGTACCAACTTTCATGCCATCTAATAAATGTTTAAGTGTAGTAAATTGTGTTGAGTGAATCAATTCCAACTGAATCTAGTCCTTTCCTACTCCATCCTCTTACTCCTAGTCTCATATAGGAGACCGTGTATTGCCATCCAGAAAAATACTCAAAACTTTGTGTAGTAGGTGTAACCTACTTGATGTCAGAAGGAAAGACTGTAGTAGAATCTTGTGGTGCCTGGAAATCACCTGGCAACCTCACAAATGCATAAAACTGAAAATCTTATAACTATAAATATATAATAAAAAATCTACATTTAAATTTTCTTTCTACTATACCTTTCCTAAATCTTGGAGCTTGAGCAACTGACCCTGCTGGACCAAACGGTGTCGTAAGGGAGACGCTCACAGGAGTAGCCGACACAACAAAAGGAGGATTCATTGTTGTAAACACCGGATGAGTCAATCCAGGCACCATTTGATGCTGAGGTACTTGAACTATTGGACTTGGTGTCTGCATTCGTGGTTGTAATGGAGGAGGACCAGTTGGTGTCACCATTGGCAGTGTTCGCTAATTTAAAAAAAAAAAAAAATGAAAGGCATGGAAATCTAGTATGTCTGTCATCAAAAATCACTTGTTAACAAATAAAAGTAAAATTCTATAAAAATAATGAATTTCTTTTTATTTACCACATAATTATATAAAACTAGCTTGAAATTTTAATAATTCTTTAAAAGTAATAAAAAACTAATGTAATTATTTTATTGTTTTAAACACATTCATTTCATTAATGGCAATTTTTATATTATATGTAAAATACTGTATTGCAGTGTTTCCCAACCTTTTAACTTAAACTCTGGACAAGTCCATTTTCGAATTGCCCCCCTTAACAATCCAACTGTCCCCCTGTGGGGCGTGGGTCCCACGTTGGAAAACACTGCTGTATTGTATTAATGAATAAAATTTAGTTTACAGTGAAACAGTTGTGATTGCAAATACACAAGTATAAAACAAAACTTTATGCAATATTTAATATAATATCAATATTAAATTTTAAATTACTATGCATATTATATAATTTACAATTGTAAATAACTGTTTAATAAACTTACAGGTGTAAAAACCTCAGCATTTGGATTCAAGACATGTTTCTTGCTATTTGGATTAGATGCTGACAAATCAGAAGAATCTGGAGACTTTAATCCTGAATTACTTTCCTGCTCTTCTATTTCTATTTTAGGTTCGTGTTCAGGTTCTTTTTTCTCTATGGGCTTTGTAATTTTATTTAAATGATTTGGAGAAACATCACTCTTTTGGTGATGATCTTTTCTTTCATGCAATTCTTTACTGTCCTCTGCCAACTAGAAATAATAATATTTCTTAAATTACAAATTTAAATAAAATAATCAATTCATTATTATTTATATTATTTATCCATTTAAATAAACATTAATTTAAAAGAAAGCTTCATTTTTAAATGAAGACAAAATATATAAGAAGAAATTTAGATATAACTAATAAATTTAAAATTGCAAGCTATACAATACTCACACCATCCAGATACCCCAGTATACACAACAGAGTGGCAGTTGTATCCACTGGGTTATGTGTAAGCATTTTGGGGTACAAATGTCTGATAAATATTACAAATGTATCCCCCAAAAGTCCTCAACATGGATAATATCACTGTTATGTAGGATATACCATTGGTAAAGACAGGATCATCCTAGCAAATAGCCTTGATATTGTACAGTTTTACTTGACAGGGAAAAAATATTTTGCCTGCTGATTGAGTCAGCTGTCTCAGATGACTCAAATGTTAAAATATTGTTGAAAGAAAAATCAAAAATGTCAAATGTTGAAAGAAGCAGAAAAACTCGGCAAATACAAATATTATATCTACAAGTAAAGATCAACAGAATGTGGAATATGAAGACAAGAGTCGTTTGGTTGTAGTTGTAGTAGGTGCACTTGGAGCACTTGAAAAAAAAACTTAATTAAAATTTCAGATACTTGTTGGCTATCAGTCAGCCAGAGGTGCAAATTATACTGATGGCTTTGCACAAATCATGTAAAAGATACTGTACTTGAATAGTACACTTTCATCTCTCTTTAAGAGCTATATCTGTCATAACTACCATTTAACAACTTTATGATGAGATTTGTTACACATAATAATAAATGATTTATGAATAAAATAGTTTTTTTATTTCATATAATTCATGTAATTCCAATGATGTAAAGATATACATGTAAAAAGAGAATACAAAATTTCTATTCTTTAAGCGAATAGTTTATACTCCTTTTTGAAAAAGATGTGAAAAAAGCTGAGAAAACAGGAGAGAACATTGATAAAGAAAATAAGAATGAAGACAAAGTTCAAGAACACTACACAATTCTGTGAAAAATGGGTCTCAATGGCTGAATTTTTGATAATTTGAAGTTCTAGTAATCCTGATCAAAAATATCCACAGGCAAAAAGTCAATAAGTATTTTGAAACAAAAAGATTTAGGGCTTCACAGCACAAATGCAAATTGAGTTGTTTTTGATCTTGGTTGCTTGATAACTCAAATATTGCCCATTTTTCAAACTTGTGCTATGGAGGCTTTTGATTGGAATCACTAGAACTGTAAAACATCAAAGATTCAGCCAAATCAACAGGGCCCATTGCCCATAAAGATTATGTGTAGTCCTTTCGTATAGTAAAAAGTACAATAAAAATTTAAGCTTTCACCATATGCTAGTTTTAATAAAATTTAAAAAATCAATAGAAATATGAACATTTTCAATAGTGACATNGTTATTGATTATATATAAAGAATTTAGTAGTTGTAAGAATTTAAAAAACTAGTAAGGTTGACAAATTATTAAATAGGATATATATTAGGAAAAATATATATATAACTAAAGAATCAAAATATCTGATCACAAACTGTAGCCTACATTTTATAAATAATTTAGTTTGAAACAAATTAATGCTACTTAATGTTTAAATGTAATACCACTATGTAATAATATGTGGTGATAAAAGATGCACTATATTTGGAGTATGTAGAATTTCAGTACATAATAACAACAATAATAATAATAATAAATTAAAATCACTAATAATGCATTGGGTAAATTTGTTTTAAAATTATATCTATTAAATATAATTTAAATATTTAAAACATATCTAATTTTAGGAGAAAAATACCCTAAAGTTTATCAATAGATGTAAGCTAAGCCACACACATAACAAGTAAATAATAAAGGCATATAATTAAGTGTGAAAATATTTTATTCTGTACTTTAATTATGGAATCTGTGATTCTGTGAATAAATATTCACTAACTATAAATAGAAATATCAATGTTATATTATGTGGTGTATCTATTATACATACAAAAAATGGAACATCATGTATGTAAAGAAATGTAGAACAGAAATGTTAAATGTATAATGACTGTCAACAGCTAATTGTTTAGTTACATTATATTTTTGACTTTGATTATATTATGTTGTATAATTATATTTTAAAAATGAGAATGTCATGTTATTATATGAGTCTTGTTATATGGTTTTTAGAAACTTTTAGACCAAAATATTTTATCTGAAGAGGTCTATAAAGTTTTTTATAACTCACTCCAAGTTTTAAATAATCTTATTAGACAATTCTACTTAAACTTGTATGCTGATAAAGTTTTGTTAATTCACTCCATTCTATATTTTGACTCTTAATGATCTATTTATAAGCTGAATGTCAACTTTAGCATATAATAATTCTCTATAGTGAATAAAAACCAAGCAGCTGATTTTTGAACTCTCATTGGATATTGTAGAGTATATGCAACTTAGTAAAATCAACAACAATGATATTAATTACAATTATTTTATTTACTGCTTATTTACTTTTTTTACAGCTTTTTTGATAATTAAGATTAGTAACTCAATAATTATAATGCTAGTATGCTGTAATGTGTTTCAATTTTTACATTGTACATTGTTAAAATGCTAAAGTAATATTCATACATATTTTAAATTATTATTAAAAATTTCCAAATTCAGTAAATTCTTGCACTTTTTCTTCAACTATTAAAAATAAAATTGTTTTTTCTGAAAGCTAAAATTTAGTTAGTTTACAAGGAACATTTTTAGTCTTTCTTGGCCGACATCAGCTCATACATACAAATAGGATAAACAATAAAATTTGTGATGCATGCCTTAACTCAAAAGGAAGAAAACTCAGTTTTTTGGTGTTAAATAAGCAATATATTTAATAACTTTTAATAACTCAAGCATTTTTGATATTTCAAAATATCATCTTCAGGAACACTTCAAACAAATCAGAGTAGGTGAATTGAAACAAACATACTTAAAACTTGAAAATTTGTACAAAAATTATACATTTAATTGACTATAATTAATACAGTTTTACATCTATTATTTAATTATTATCATTATCATCATCATATATCATTACTTCAGCATTCAACTCAGAAAGAAGAAAACTCAGTTTCTTTGGTGATAAGTAAATGATATTTTTAATAATTCGTCATTTTGATATTTCAAAATATCATTCTAATTTATCCTATCTTATTTTTTTATCCTATCCTATTTTTGATTTAAAAATTCCTTTGTCTATTCTACTCCAGTCTTATTTAATTAATCCAAACTTATTCTTAGGATATCTTATAAACAGATTTAAATACTTTTTAATAGTAATTGACAAAAAAATGATTTAATTTAAATCTAGCAAATTAAATGGCTGAAAATTTCTTTACAATACATTTCTATTTAACAAATAAAATGCATTGATTTCAAGACCCTCTCTTTCCAGGAATCTTGGCACTCAGTTGATAAATACTAATAAACTCATATGTATCTCCTTCCTGTCTTTGTTTATGTACATTGTTGACATTTAGCTCTACACTCCAACTTTTTTTTTTTTTGGGCTCCTCCAAATAATAATTTTGAGCCTTTCAAAAAGTAATAAAGAACTTTTCAAACTTAAGATCCTTCCTTTAAAAGCTTGGAAACTTTAAAGATATACTTTTTCACACGTAACATAGTAATTTATGATGTATTCAATATTGATTTTAAAAATTCACTTAAAATATATAATGAAATAAATTCCAACTTTTCTATGAAGACAATGGCAAAATGATTTTTAAAATGTATGATTAATAATCATGTTTGTATTTTTATCATTTCATAGTAAATACATAAATAGATAATTATTTAAAAAAAATTTTTCTCATCTGATGGTAATTAACATTAAAATTAAAATTGAAAACGAAGTCTGTCAGAACAGTCACCATTTATTCACTTCCACTGTTCCAGAATACAGTTTTTGACAATTGACCTTTCTTTATAGGCTGCCTTGGTGAAGATAAGCTGCTTTCTTTAAAGGGAATTTTTTTTAAATTTCAGTGACCAAAACAGCCTACAAAGTAAGGTCAGTTGTCAAAAGCTATATGCTAGGACAATGAAATTGAATAAATGGTAACTTTTCTCTGACAGACTTGTCTTCAATTTTAATTTTAATAAATGTATACATTGACAATTCAAATAAATGCCAATATTCCCAGAATTTTTTATTCAATCAGTAAGGATTTCTGAGAAAATAAAACAGTGTAATCTGATTTATGAGTACAATCAAATTCTGTTTTTACATGAACTTTTCACACAATTTTGGTTTAATATGATTGATCCAAAATTCTAAAAAACATTTCTTCCATATTACAGAGTATGAGGTACTTGTTTTGCATTATTCGCTTTTGTATTGTTGATTTTGGCATTGTTTTCCAATTGCAAAAGAAATTTATGGGGAATGCTCCTCATTATATGTATCACTTCAATCTTTTTTACATGTATTCTTCAGGAATATATCTAACCAGATAAAAATTAAGACTACTGTCTATCAGCATTAATAAACTTTAATAATTAAAACACAAATAAACCACACAACTACTTTCGACATTTATAGAATGTCATCTTCAGGCAAAAAGAAACAAATTTTAGAATAGTGATATAAAATCTTAAATTTAATGTTAAGATGTTCTAATTGGAATGTGTATGTTAAATTTAAATGGTACATTATCAATTACACATTAAATCCAAGGTCAAACAGTAATGAAATTATTCACACTCAGGAGTTAATTTTTTTAAATATTGAATAGTGAAACCCATAGTGTGAGCTCTAGAGTGAGTCTATTACAAAATTCTAATTTCTCAATAAATTATGCTTCCCAGATAAATAAAATGTTGCAGTCCATGCAATGTACAAGGAGAGTAGACTCATTCCACAGGGACACAAAACTATGATTGAATACCCTCCTAGATAGTTACATGGAAAGTCTATTATTACAAATATCATCTT